TTCTAGTTAATTTTAGATTCAGTCTAAAAAAATGCTCAATGCGCATTACTTCGAAAAAGACATCACATCTTAAAAATTAATGGACATTCGTGTAGGTAAAAGCAAGTATTATGCATGTATGTTGATGTGAAATGACCTTCACCCTTCATGGTGGTGACTGCCGTTGCACATTCTGCTATAGCCAGGCCAGTCCGTGTTGTAATGGGTGAAGAACACATACATCTTAGTCTTAGTTTAGTTTGTTTCGTAAGAGTTTTACGGCGCTCGCTCGCAACCGCATAAGGTTATATGAGCACGCTCACACCTACATCTAAAAAAAAAATCAAATTAAAACTCCTTTTGTGGGTGGTTGACGGGTGCTCTGGTGTGGTTTGCTCCTTCTTTCCTATCAAGCATCTATCGTTTTTATCTCCCCTCCTTCTTTTTTATGTTTATTACTCTCTTGTAACACCTCTAAACTTCGGCACTTATAAATTTTTTGTGTTTCAAGTGCCGTAAAACTCTTACTAAAACTAAAACTCTCCTTTCCTTTGCTTCCAGAGCCAGCCTATATCGACGGTGAGCCAGCCGGGACGAACGTCGGAGGAAGTGGAGCACATGACGTCACTCGGTGGCTACACGCCCACGTCCCCCCTTGTGGCCCAGATGTCTCGGAGCTCGGAGCTGGCCGTCAGCGAAATCTCCCTGCTGCAGGAAACCTCGGAGATCTTCGGCGAGACCCGCGACTTTGGCCCACATCTGGGTCGCTCGTCCTCCGAAGTCCACTCTCACGGAATCGGGGTCGGGACGGGGAGGGTGTCCGACTCATCACCGGGGGACCTGGGACCCGCGCTATTCTGCGGGGGCGAGAGAAGCGACTCGACCACGGACAGCCTCAACACCCCGACGCAAGGGTTCGCCCCCGTCACCTTCACCGACCGCTCCCCCAACACCACCACCGCCATCCACCCCAAACCCGTGCCGGTTCAGCGTCCGAGCGCGGGCGGCGCCTTCCTCACCCCGACCAACACCCCTCCCTTCCAGACGTCGAGCGACCTCAAGTCCCGAGAAAATCGCATCAGCGAGGATTTGACGGAGCTCTCCGCTCTCGGCGCAGACGCAGGAAGCGGGACGTTTGAAGTGACGGCCTCTTCGTTAGCTGCCGGAGATAAAGTCGGTTTCTCGGAAAGCGGACAGTTCTCGGACGATCTCTCTCAAGGTCAGCCGGCGGGAGAAGAGACAGACTCGGCTAAAGGGGTGGAGCCAGACTCTGCCGTAGATAATGAGCAAACTTCGTCATCTGTTTCTGCTGCGCTGGACAAAGACTCGGGCGACGGTACCACCAACAACACGACTCACATCGGAAGTATCACCTACTTACCCATCACGGAGGACGAGCAATGGAACCAAACCATCCAGGCGATCCAGGACCGGAAGCCCCTGGTGGACTCCCCCTCCCCCTCCTCCTCCCTCCCCGGTGCCGAGACAGCGGCGCCGCTGAAAGCCAAAGACGCCACCGATTCTGGCCGGGGCGGAGACAGTGGGAGCGAAGAGGCGTGGTCTCAGTCTGTCGGGGGCGGGGCTAGGGCGGGCTCCTCCTTCTCCCCGCTGCGCACGCCCGTCCAGCACATCTCCAGCTTCTTCACCTACACCACCAGCCTCTTCCGGAGTGGTGGGGGCGGAGCTGCTGACAAGGAGGCGGGCAGTAAGAGTGGAGGAGGGGCTGGCCCCGCCCCTTCCTCTGCCAACAGCCAATCGGCGTCGTCCCAGCAGGAGGGTGAGCTGAACAAGGAGATAGCCCAGCTGACGCTCGCCCCACCCCCCGGCCAAGCCATGAAGTTCCCACTCATCCAGCGTGGCTTCTCTAAGGAGGAGCTCACCAAAGCTCTTGGGCCCGACCCCAAGTGTGAGTACAGGCAGACTTGCTACTCATCCTGATTTCATCGGGGTATCCTGATCATCCCCCCCTTCCCCCCCCAACCTCCACCAAATCTCAAGCATCCCGATATCGATCATGTGTATCCTTATTTTTTTGTTCCGTCTGCTGCACTGGATTTTTCTAAAAACTTACTGTGCCTTCGTAAATTTATGGACACCCCTCTCCTCTCTCTCTCTCTCTCTCTCTCTCTCTCTCTCTCTCTCTCTCTCTCTCTCTCTCTCTCCCCACTACCACA